AGCCCCTGTCACCACCGTCCACTTTCTGTCTCTATGAATGTGACTCCTCTAGGGACCTCCTACGGGGGGAATCATACGAATTGTCCTTTCGCGCCTGGATCATCCGACCAAGCGTAACGTCCTCCAGGTTCATCCATGCTGTAGGGTGTCAGAATCTCCTTCCTTTTTAGGGCTGAATTACATCCCACTGTCTGGGATGGACCACGTTGTTCGTCCATTCATCTGTCGATGGGCATTTGGGTCGGTTCCACCTTTTAGCTACTGTGAACAACGCTGCTGTGGACACGGGTGTCGGGGCCTCTGTTCCGGCGCCTGCTCTCAGTTCCCTTCGGTCTATGTACACTCGGAAGTGGGATTGCTGGGTCGTGCGGTAGTTCTGTTTAATTTTTTGAGGAACCGCCATGTTGGCCTTGCCTTTTGTTTTGTTTTGCCTTGCTTCTGGTTTTCTATTTTGAAATAATTTTAGGCTCATATGAAAGTTGTAAAAAATGGTACGGAGTTCCCCCGTACCCTTGGCGTGGCTCTCCCCAAAGAGAACGTCCTCTAGAACTACGCCTCAACCAGAATCCACGCCTCAACCAGAATCCACGCCTCAACCAGAATCCACGCATTTCCGTCACCACAAAGAAAATTCCTCATAGCCACAGCCTCCCTCCCCCCAATCCTGACGCCTGCCGATCTCTGCTCTGTTCTCCATCACTATAATTTTGTCATTAAAAGAATGTCATACACATGGAATCATGCGCTACGTCGCTCTTCGGCGGGATGCCTTTGGGTTTCGCCCAAGTTGGTGCGTGTATCCACGGTTTGTTCCTTTCGATTACCGAGTGGTATTTCGTTGCATGGAATTAATTTACCAATCCACCTATTGACAGAAATTCGGGTTGTTTCCAGTTTGGGGTCTATTACAAATAAAGCTTTTGTGAACGTTCACGTCCAGATTTTCATGTGAGCCCGAGAGTTCGTTTCTCTTGGGCGAACACCCAGGACTGAAATTGCCCAGTCACATGGTAAGTGTGTGTTAAATTTTCTGAGAAACTGCCAAGCCGCTTTCTGGGGGGCTGCACCATCTTCGTACCCCCACCAGCAACGTGTGAGGGGCTCATTGTTGCTCAGCATCCTCGCCAGCACTCGGCATCATCGGCCTCTTTGATTTTAGCCACTTTAAACTTGCGTTTCTCCCATGGCTAACGAGGCTGAGCCATCTTCGTTTTGTACAAATGGTGTCATAGAGAGTCTCCTGTCATTTCATGTTTCTAAAACATTTTTATGTGGTTGTCATCTGTGAGTTTTCCACTCCTAAATATTTCTCCGTGGGACGATACCAAAACATGTTTTTCCATTCTTCCACTGATGGATATTTGTGTCGTTTCCAGATTTTGTCATCGAGAACATTAGTGTGTATTTCTCCTCCTGTTTATGTAAGGGCGTGAGTTTCCTACGTGACATGCCTAGGACTAGAATTCCTGGGTCGTAGGGTGGGCAAGATAGTGCCACACTGCTTCCCAAAGGGGTGGGGGCGGCCGTTCGTTCAGTTCATCCATTGCACAGGTGAGAGAGAGCAAGTTCAAGGTGCATTTCGAAAGCGGAAGCGTGTACACATGTGATATTAATACTAGATTGTGCCTTGGACTGAATCTATCAACAAAGCTATTAATTTCCCGGGGCAGGGGGAGCAAGTTAGGAGACACCCAAGTCTCTGGGACCAGGGGACAGGTGTACTAAGCAAGATGCAATTGGAAACCATGATAAGCAGAGAGATACGCAGTAGGGAGAGGTTGCACAGCAAAATGCACTCGCTAATAAAGATAGAAGAGTGGGCGGAGGGCGTGATCCTGGACTGTAACCTCGGTCATAAAACCTCCTGTTCTCTACGCTGAGAATCAGGTGACTAGCAGGAAACATCTCCCCAAG